AACACGACCTCGGACATATTAACATCAAGGAACCTGGTTTAGCGGAGAGGGGGAAGGAGTTACCAAAGGCGAATTTAACTACCCCGATTAAAGTAGGTCCAAATTGTGCACCGTTCCCTAAGTCTTCCATACCCCTACAGATATTCTGCAAAATTACAGAGAGGGCTAATTTGGGTCTGTTTGCTGCGGTCAAGCGTCAACTGGTGCCCCGAGTACATTCATGCTGTCAAAGGACTTCGTTTTACAGTAGCCCCAGTTGTATGGCCATTTTCATTCATATTTTGGGAGCGGTTTTCTAATCAACACCCCATTTTTGGTAATCGTCTTTGTAATTCTTTAAGGCGAATGAAGATTCAAATCTCTACTGAGCAGTAGGGCGCCATCAGTGGAGGGTTAAGACAGAATAACTATGCTGAAATGCTTTGATTATGCTTTAACACGTCATTTTACCTTGCAAGTGATTGAGTCACCTATTTTGTACTTTTGCTGTGCACGACGTTGTCCCGGACGTGTCGGTAGTCACCCAACACTTCTATACGTTGGCAAGGCGATTTCTGTCCTAGTATTGTGAGTTCTTTCGTTTACAGGAAAGATTCCAGGCATTACGGTTACTTTTATTTTCACTCGACATTCCAGCGCTACTCTCTGTTTGGAACTAAACCTCCCAATTTCATGCCCAAAGAAGAGTTAGCTCATTTGCTTACATCCAAAGCTCTAGGGCGTTATGATGGATATAAGAAATTGAGTTTACACTGCAAGACTTCCGTCAACTACGACAAAACACTTACTTGGTCTGTAACAGGCTGTACCATCTTACATTTGCCATTTGAAATGCCAATCACTGCGGCTTGAAATGCATTTCGATTTAATCATTTCCACACCCACTCTCATGAGACTTACTTTACCACACATAAATTATAAACACAGGTATTTAGTGCGCACAATAAATTCAAGAGTTTATATTTTGGAAAGAATTGAAGGCGACAAACACGTACTTTTGATCAAGCCGCGCAGTCATCAACATGGCGCCTAAAACCAAAAGCTGAAGAGGCGAGTGATATCCTCATTGCAGCAATCGCATTGTTGATGATCAAGAGGGTCAGTCTTTTGGCGATTTTCATGGCGGAGGTAGCTAGGACGTCTGATCCCTCAGTAGGGTACATACTTGATTATCCTTTCGGCTAGACGACGCGTAGGTGTGTGCTCTGCAGGTTGATTGGAAGGAGGGTGTGCCGTGTTGTTGAAAAGCCTCTTACATTCTGATGGCGTGCATGGTTGCTTGATTTTGGCAAAGAATCACGGAGCTCAGAGTCGAACCATCCTCATCGTGCAAGGGGTCATGTCTTAGGTGCCGCACGTCATAAGCCAGACAGTGATAGAGGAGTCCAACTATGCTAGCACTTAAGCGGCTAGAGAGGAAAGTCAAGACCGATCTGAAGGGCATTCGATCTAGCTCTAGCTATGACAACATCACAGTACTGTGCTCAGGTAACAAGCCTTTCAGCCCTAAGTTGGTTGGGCGTGCTCGTGTTTGCGAGCAGGATTGCGTTGCACTCTGAGGTTAAAGTCACTGCGACAGCTGCTGGAAAGGCGGAGAAAGGATGACCTTCCATATTCAGCAAAAAGAGGGGTGTCACTCCTGTCCTGAGTCAGGCATCGAACATTCACTATACTAGTCAATGCGCTTTCATCTCAAGAGAGGAGTCATTTGCCAAAAGCACAATCTCGTTTTATGGTTGTGGGATGAGCTCGGCGCTTCTTGAAATGCTGAAACAAATGTTAGTAGGAACATATTTGCACATAGCACAAAGCTGCTGCGTACTTTTTCATACCGAAATAGTAAACTCATGTCAGGGGTGATGTTATGCTTTGCCAAATACATAATATCCTTCACGTATTATATTGGAGCAAACTGCAAAAGCTGCGTCAATTTTAAAGATGGTTCAGTTAGCCCTTTTCACACATCAAGCGCAACCTCTCGTGCCTTACAAAATGCGAAATCGCCACTTTGATAAACTGCATCCCGAATTCCTTTCCAAATAATCGCTCGTATATACGCGAACAGAACTGATTCGGTACTTGATAGCATAGCAAACATTCTTTCCAGTCGCCATGGAGGGCACGAATTTTGCGTTGCATTTAGTCGAAAGCCTCATCTAATGTGGGCTGTGCTGAGTGCTCAGACCTCCTGGCCACCTTCGTGCAGATCATATTGCAAAGACTGACTGCATACGCAGGAGGGCAGATGAAGACGGCGCCGTCCAAGTAAGCCTGCAATATACAACGACT